CGTTATTTTATATGAACATGTTAAACTCAATTATTTCACTCTTCTGAAAAATGTAAAGATTTTACATTTAGAATGGAAAGACCCCAATGTGGAGGGTTTATAAATTTTGAAAATGTAAGCAATTTAACAAAACTAGAAGCAAAGAGTATTCCCAAATATATATATGCAAAATTCAACTCTTCTCTAAGGGAATTGCACCTGTCAATGTCATCTTTCAATCTAGACAATAATTTTGATAATTTGAAAAAATTGGAACTCATCAATGTTGGAAATTTATTAAGAGCCACCAGCACTACATTTCCCTCCTTGGAATATGCCTATTGTACGAATTGTAATTTTTCCTTTAATGGAATTGAGTTTTTTTCCCAAAGCAAAAATTTGAAGAATTTGATTTTGAGGTGGTGTGATCTAGGAAAGGTGGAAACAGCCGAATTTCATTGTAGAGAATTGGAAGAATTGGATCTGACTACTGAGAATCCAATTAATCTTGATCTTTCGACATTGAGAGGACTAAACTTGAAGAAGCTCACAATTTATCCGAAATATATCAATAACCAAATAGATCTTTCCGTAATTGAGCAAATGGCAAGTTTGGAATATCTGAATTTAGGCGAATATTATGAAAATCTATCATTTTCCCAATTGACCAAATTGAATTATTTAGAATTTCGAAAAATTCGCATTTCAAAAAAGAATCTAAAGGTAGAAAATTTGCTTTATGAAAATTTACTAAGAAATTGCGTCATTTACTTTAATAGTATAACCATTGAAGAGCATTGCATGCCATTTCCAATTTTATTCGAAAGTGGAACTTTGGAAGGATCATTATTCGAATTAATTGCTTTGAAATTGAGAGAGCTCTGTATTGGTGTGAAAGGTGTGAAATTTGCCTTAATGTCAGAGAAATTTATCTATGTTTCGTTTAATAGACAATCAAAGAATAAGCTATATTCGTATCCAAGTTTTATTCTATTCGAAACTGAAAGTCCGAACAGAATTTTGGAGCACAGAAGAAGTTTGGAAAAGAAACAAGAATTTTTTAATTTTACATCAAGTATCGAATATTTAATGCAACTGAAAAATTATTCTACTGTACGAAATGGACGAAAGTGTGAAATTCAGTGAACTAGTGAACATTCGAATATAATTTTCATTTAATATTTAAAATAATTAAAAACTAAACTAAAAAAAATGTCCCTTCTCGATCTTCCCAGAGAAATTTTCGTTCTCATCCATTCATATACCGATTTTCAAACTATTCTAAACCTCCGAACCATTTGTAAATATTTATCCCTCACTTCCAAATATTATCAATCAGAAGTTGTGGATTTTACAAAAGATTATTCTGATTATTATTCATTGGGCGAAACTATATTCGATTTTAAAGGAAAGGAAAATTTGAATAGTTACATTGAGCCGACAGTTTTGTTTCTCGGTGAAAATATTGGAAAAATTGAATCGGTTCAGGTTCAGATGGACGAATGTGGAGAACCAAGTTTCGGATTTATTGAAAATATATTCGAAAGTTGTTTACAGTCAATTTCAGAGCTGAAATTTGATTTGTGGTTTCCTAGAAAAAGTAGCAAAGCACAAGTCAACACAGAACATGGATTAGAATCAAGTCAGTCAAGATTCCTGTCAAAATTCATGAGATTGAGAGCACTGTCATTGATTTTAACACATACAAGTCATGAATATTTTAATTTGATTTTAGATGAAATAGAAAGAGGAAATTTCAAAGAATTGAAGAAATTTGAATTGTGCATTCGATGTACAACTCTTTCAGATTCGAATATTCAACAACTGGAGAGAATAATCAATCGAATGAAGACATTGACGCATTTGACATTGGAAATATATCACACTCATGAGCAACAAGAGTTGGTGAATCAATAAAGAAATCAATGTCATATATTCCATTCCTTAAATTGAGTTTAAATTGAATAGTAATCTTATGATGGATTGTTTGGAAAGTATTTCCCAAAATTCGAAGGATTTATCTTTGATATTGGAAGATGGAAATCTCATGTCCGATCAATTGAAATTGGATCAATTGAGGAATTTGTCAAAGTTAGAGATTGATTACCTGCCTTCCTTTGTTACCGTGATGAATCCGCATCTAGTTGAGTTGCAAGTTGGAAGTCTTTTGAACAACAATTTCTTTAACAGAACATTGACCAATACGTTGCTTTTGAAAAGTACATTTTATAATTTGAAAAGATTGGAACTAACCAACGTTGGAAATATGTCAGAAGCTCCTACCTATGTATTTCCCTCTTTAGAATATGTCTATTGTTTGGATTGTGATTTTGGTAGTGGAATTGATTTCTTTTCGAATAGTACAAAATTGAAGAGTTTAATTTTGATATGGTGTAAATTTAAGATTCTATCAAAAACTAAATTTCAATGTCAAGGATTGGAAGAATTGAATATTTCCACAACTAGTCCACACAAATTCTTCGATGTTTCCACATTGAAAGGACTACAACTAAGGAAACTAAATATTTATCCTGTAGGTATCACTGGCGTTAGTCCAGTAACAACAGCTGATCTTTCAGCAATCGAAGAAATGACGAGTTTGGAACATTTAACATTTGGAGAATATATTGAGAAATTTTCATTTGCCAAATTGACCAATTTGAAATACCTACAGTTTCGTAAAAGTTTTGCATTTGTAGGAATTCTATCATTAAGCTCATATGAACACTTACTTCATAATTGTGTCATTTACTTTGACGTTGCAGCATCTGATGTTCCTGTACCTGCTTTTTCAGAAAATGGAAGAGTTATTGTTAATTCATCCACTTGTCGATTAATTGCTTCCAAATTGAAAGAGCTCAATATTAGTGTGAATGGTGTGAAATTTGTAATAATGACACCAACGTACATTTACGTTACTTTCAATATGCAATCAAGGAAACAATCTCATTATTCCTATCCTAGTTTTATTCTATTCGAAAGCAAACAACCACACACAATTGTAGCCAGCGGAAGAAGTTTGGAAAAGAAGATGGAAGTACCAAAAATCACCATTGATTATTTAATGAATTTAAAGTTTGAAACTAATGAAAAAAAATGTGAAATTCAATAAATTACAATGAATATTAATTTTGGAATGGTTGTGGAACAAATCCTGGTTGTTGAGTTTGTACTGGTTGTAAAGTAGAAACTGGAATTGCTTGGAGATAACCACCTCTACCTCTTCCACCCCTAATAGATAAGCCACCTCTGCCACCCCTAATAGGTAATCCACCTCTTCCACCCCTAATAGGTAATCCACTACCTCTACCACTGTAAGAATAAGTGCTACAGGTTATTCCTCTTGGCATTGTTCCTTTCGGTTGTTTTGTCCTTTCTGTGTTGGGATCTTTAAATTTTCCATTCTTTCTAGATCGTGGTCGTGCTTCCTCCAACAAATCATCAACATGTTGTTCATTAAATTCGAATTGAGGAAACTCTGCCCTTACAGAATCAATAATCTTTGCTTTGAACATTAGCAAGGCATTGGTGAAAGACTTTCTTGGACCATCACTAAGGAACATGTGAAAAATCTCCTCCTCTGTTAAGGTTGAGTTTGGAAATTTCCACATGTGAAATTCTTTCCACTTTTGAATCATGAATACTGTAAAATTGGTAAAGATCTCGAGATTTGGTTTGCTCAAATCCAATGCACGTCTCTTCATAATTCTTCCTAGAACATGTTGATACAAGCTCATAAAATCATTTGTTCTTGGTGTCATTAATTTTGGGTTATTTTTGGTCTGTTTCAGTAATCTGAATTCTCCATGAGCGTAATTTCTTTCAAACAGATGGAAGAATAAATTCTTTTCGTCCATTTTGGTTGCCAATCGTATCATTTCTTCCAAAGGTTTGCAGTCAATTTGCAAAGATTTTTCACTATGCTTAGGGGAGGTCTCGTTGAGTAAATAAAACTTTGTCCATTTGAAAACTTGTTCTGTAAAATCAAGATGAAGACGTTTTTCCATTTGTTTTTCAAACATTAGTTTCCAGTTTCTAACTTTAGATTTGGAGAGTCTCAATCTGTTGGAATCAAATAATAGAGAGTTCAATTTCATATCTAAACTCTCGAAAAATTCAAACTCTTCATCTCCAAATGAAACTACTGGAATTCCTACCTTCTTTACATTAAGCAATGTTTCGTATAATCTCTCAACATTTCTGTGTTGCTTAATGTAGGAATGCATTGAGGTAGTGTCACCAAATTCCTCCTTTGAAGATAACCAGTGAGGGAAATACTTATTAAGGTCTCTAATAGAATTCTCCAATCTAAAGAAAACTTTTGATGCAGTAAATTCTGACTTGGGGTTTCGAATTTGTTTCTTCATTTCGCTTTTTTTAGCATAATAGTAAAAATAAACTTGCTCCTTATATTGTAATTGATTCCATTTCGTTTTCAATTCCTTACTTGTAGATACCAAATCATTCTTCCTATTAACAAACTTTTCCTTTCCATTCGCGTAATTCGAAAACCTTTCAATTTCATTTCGAATAGCCAAGAAGGTCAACAATTCATAATAAGGACTCGATCTCACCTTCTCCACTTCCATCTCTTTCAAACTAGAAACACCCAACATTTTACAACTAATCTCTGAACTGATCAACAATAATTTCTTCACCACTCGATCATTCAAATCCAAAAACAAACAAATGTGAAAATAAATTTCCCAAGGCAAATGCGCAAAATCTTCATCATGATCTCCTCGTTTCATAGGAATACTTGTATTTCGTCTGCTCCTGTGTGTAGTTTCAACATTATTCGAATCTTGAAGACCAAAGAGAATGAAATCCTTCTCTTTCCATTGATTCTTTCTAATATTCTTTCTTTTTTGCTTGTTTTTAATGCCCTGTTCTGAAAGACCAACAAGCCTTCGTTTAACACCTTTGGGGAGTGAATGGGGAAGGAAGTTTTGAGACATTTTTTTTTCTAGTATTTACGGTCAAATATTTCGGAACTACTTCCGTAAGAAATCATCTCAAAGGAAGGACAATGATTGAAGTTCTGTTCGTGTTCCGCTTTACAACAAGGAGTATCTCAAAATATATTGTTAAGGTGGTGGGTGTGTGTATTAATAATAGTTAGTTTACAATTTATTCTTGTCGGCAGTTGCTGCAAGAATGTAAATTCTACAATTTGCATTTCTTTGTCTATTCTCTTTCAAAATATCAAAGTATGTACTGTTTCTACTTTGTAACAAGTTAATATTATTCACAATGATGGTATTAAAGTGATTAATTTTGGCTTGTCCTGGATAATCACCTAAAACATCATTAAAAGCATCCCAATTATTTCCAAAATAATCCACAAATTGTAAAGTTTCATTAAAAGTTGTGAATAATGCTTGAGCCGAGTCCAGTTTATCTCCTCTCACATTGATAATGGCCACATTTTGATTGGTATTCAATTTGTCCTTGCAACCTTGTTCGATTTGAGCAAGTTTACTTCTCTCTAAAAAGATAATTTCATCTTGTTGGTTATTCAAGATATCTTGAATCAATGTATTAAAATCTGACATTTTTTTCTATTGTTTTTGACCTCACCAAAGCTATGCTTTTAATCATGCTTTTAATTAGCAAGCGGAGTCATGATTTTATAAAAATAGCAAGTAACCTTCTAAATTTTCGATTATCCTTATTCATATTGGTGACTTGATTTTCTTTGAATTATTGTAATAATGAAGAATCAAATTATTGTAAAATCATTTTCAATTCTTGTCTTCTCTCCTCAAATCTCTGCACAATTTCCAAATAATCATTCATAACACAATTCTGACATCCATTTCCACAGCACACTATTGTATAACTCTCCATATCTGGATATAATTTTTCCAAATCTTTAATATTATCCACTCGATTAATCTTTTCCAAAACTTGATCCTTTTGCTCAAAGGTAAAACTCTTCAGCGATTGATGAAATGATGATTTGGTCAAAGTAGTCCACCCAAAACTAATACTATTATTCGGATTAGAATTACTATTTATCAGCAACATCTTCTTTATATTGTTGCTCTTTGGAAAATTAATTCTTCCTCTTCCGAATGAAAAAAGACTTCCTAGATGATGAAACATTTTTTATATTTCAAAATTCAATCAAAATTAATCATTGCTTATTTAAATATTAAAACATTGATATCCAAGACATGCTGATGTTATCTTCTTTCAACATTCTAATTTCAATTCTAGTTGATACCATACCAATTAGATGATGTTGATGAACATTATCTTTCAAAAGTTTTAACAGAAAAAATTGAGAGAACATGAAGCGGAGGTTATTGAGCATGATTCCTCAGCATCAGAGAGTGGTGGGATTGCTTGTGCTGATCGTGATGATGATGATAATAACATTAAATATTGTCGAGTCCGCATCAAACTCTAGAAATATTAAACTTGTTGATCAAAAAGGCTATATAGATAGCGATTGTACAAATTGTATAAAAAGTAATAAGGGTATGAAATCTTGATCAATTAATTGGATATTCATTATAATTATATTATTAATTAATTAATTAATTAATTAATTGGAAATTTATTTCATTGTATTTGGAAAATATAGTTTGGTGTGCTTTGGAACATGTATGCACCAATACTATCGCGGAATGCCAATCAAGACAGCCATTCAATGCTACATGGTTTGTTTCTCCATCTGTGAAGGATGGTTCATTAGAAAGTGTGGAAGCAATACCTCTTCATTGTCAGACAGGTATTATAACATCATTGGATCAATGTCCAAGTTTTAGATGTAAGTAATATTCCTCTAATACTATTGGAACTGATTAACAAATATATTTACTATTGAATATTAAATATTATTAAATATTAATATGATGTAAATATTTTGGATTGAAATGTAAATAGTTGATGTTATACGTTCTTCGGAAAGTATTCTGAGAAACTTTGTGGTACCAATGACACAACAACCAATTCTTAGTTTACTATCAAAGAATTTGGAGCCATTCGAGTATCAATATGATCAAACTAATGGAGAGAATAGGAATTTTGCTGTTGGAGCTTATTATGTATCGACACTTTCTTCATTAAAGGAAGGAAAACCAAAAGTCTCAGATAGACCTGGGCTCTACTTTTCATACAATTTTCACACAGATCATGTTTCACCAATTATTTATCAACCTGCTGTGAGTGTACAAGATTACAGACTTGTAAAGTTTGCTGATCTTTCTGTTGCAGTTCAACAACCTAATAATTATTATAGATTGGGATATTCTATCATTAGAAGAGTGGACATTGCTAATTCTTCATTCTCCTATCAATGTTCGTTCAATTCTACTAACTATGATGTTTGGATTGATCCGGATTACAAATTTACATACACTGGATTCCATGTTGTTGCTGGTATTCCATTGTTGGTTATTTCTGTTACCTTACTCTCGGTTCTTTCCTTATGTTGTGTCAACAAGTTTGCCATCACCAAACACAACAGATCTCTCTTATTGAAGGATGAAGAGGAAGAACAATACTTTGATGAAATTCACACAGAAATGTGCATGACCTCAAAGGAAAAGGAAGGTTTCAAACAAAAAAAGAAGGATTATCAAGATTTTATCATTTACAAACACAGAAGAAACTTCTTTGGGGAGACACTATTCAAAAAACCAATACCTAACTCTGAAACTAATTCATTTGATCAAGCTGATGATGAGGAAAAGTTTACTGATCTCAAGAGCAAATTGAAGCATGTTTCAAGATTTTATAATCCATTTTAGAATTTTACCATCTCTCTTCTTTTTGATACTCAATTGGTTAATCAATGTGGTACAGATGTATACTATTATATGTGGTTCAGCAAGTATTTGATTGTTTATGTGGTTGTTTGTGGATTGGTTGCTTGTGGCTCTCTTTTGCCAACCTATTTGACCACCACTGATTACAATGTCTCATTTGGTGACTTTTCTTCAACTAGTATTGCCAACATGAGTATCAAGACCAATGATAAGATTTACGTCTTTTTCCTTGTTACTATTGCATTCCCAATCCTTGGTCTTGTCTTTATTTATGGTTTGAATAGATTGTCTAGACAGTTAATCAAGTCAAGAACCAACATTGGTTCCTTGTACACTGTCATGGTTAATGGAATTTCAAGAAGTGTAAGAGATAGGAAGAAATTATTGGAGGACTTTAAGCAAAGATATGGAGATTGTGTTGTTGATGCCCATTTAGCTCTTGATCTCAATAATTTGAGTGAATTGGATGAAAAGAGAGAGGATTTGGAGAGGATGTTGAGAGGAGCTGAACGTGAATATGAAAAGAGTGGCCGTAGACCACAAATCAAAGTTAAGGGTCTGATGGGATTTTTCGGAAAGAAGGTTGATGCTATTGAAGAATACAGCAAGGCCTTGGAAAGTGTCAATAAGGAGATTAACATTCTCAGACTCAATCCAAACAAGACTATTCACGGTACCGGATATGGATTTGTGACCTTCTCAACAATGGATGACGCACAAAGATGTCTCAATGAACACAAGGATATCAATTGTTGTTGTGGTATTTCTATTCCTTGGTGGTTATGCTCTCCAAGTGGATGGGGATACGGAGGTATTGAAAGAGCTCCAGAACCAGATGATGTTCTCTTTGAAAATTTGAGTATTGGATCAACCAATCGTTGGGTTAGATCATTGATCTCATCTGCTGTTATTACATCCTTCTTGCTTTTGATCTATGCCATCTCAACAACAGTTTCCTGGTACTATTGGTATAAGGGTCAAAACTATAGCTCTGTAAAAGATTACTTTATAGATACTGATGCTTCCGTTATTGGAGTTGATACTTTGGCCTTAGTTTTGATGGTTCTGGCCGAGTTGTTGCCTGAAGCCGTCTCACTCACCAATGAAATTGTTAAACCAGTCATTGAAGTTTTGAGTGACTATGAAAAGCATCCATCAAGAACATCCAGAAGAAAAACCATCCTCAGAAAGACAATTTTCTTTATTACCTTGTCTATTATGATCTTCCCATTCTTTATCAGATGGATTAAGGCTGTGTGGGGTGTTAGTATGAATGCAGATTTTCCATTCAACAATTATGCCTATTTTTTCAACTTTATTGGCACTGAAGTGGCTACACTTATTATGGCTTTGTGTACAATTGCCAAATCTTTGGAATATACATTCATGTTTATCATTATAATGGTCAAGTATAGATTCAGTGACAATGGTAATGGAAATAGGGAATTAGAAAGACTTCCTTTCGATTATGAAGCCAACATTGGAGTCAAGATTGCAATTCTCATGCTAACCCTTCTTTACGGAAGTGCTGTCCCATGCATGTTTGCATTCTCCTTAATTTACTATGTGGTTACTTATTATTTGGACAAGTATTTGATTTTATACTTTTTCGAGAAGGCCCCAGACAGTGATGGTACTCTAATGAGAACTACTTCAGACACATTGGCTTACTATCTTTCCATCTATCCAATTTTGGTTATTTTCATGATTCCTTCATTGGCTAGCTTATGGTCAACTTGGCTTATTTACTTGCCAACTATTTTTGTTTTCTACATGGTTGTTCGTATTGTTAGAAATAGAATGTCAAGATCAGAGATGGACATGTTGGTAGTTTCCTTGAGTAGTATGCCTCATGATGATATTGAAAAACAAGAGGAAGTGGATATTAATGCAGGAGATAGTTTGGAAATGGAGGTTACCGATTCAGCTAGTCCATCTTCACCAATTTCCATTCCTCAAAGAATTCCAGTCAAGAATGGCATTGCCACATCCTCTATTAGGTCCTTGATGAGCTTTGTTGCTGGTGAGGAACAAGTAGTTTCCATCTATGATAAGGAAGTTGAGAAACGTCTTGATGTCGATCAAAGAGTATTGGCCTCTCGTTACAGACATCCATACTTGAAAAAGGATAAGAGAAGAGCTGCATCAGC